TAAAGGTTACAAATATTATTTTTAATATTTTTATATTAATTAGTATTAAAAAAATATAAAAATGATTATTTTTTATTAGGAATGTCATGTAAATTATTTTAAATTAAAATTACTTAAATAAACATCATTTTTTAATATTGATTAATATAAAAAAAATACAGTAATTACATCTAAAGCACTATTAGACTCATCTAATAATTTAATTTACTTTATTATTTTGTTGGAATTATTGGAATTTCTCTGTCCATAAGAAAATAAAATATTTAACACTTTACAATTAACATTTTTTTTTTTTTTGCACAACAAAGAAGTTAAATTGATTTAATGGAGTACAAATGGTACTCCTACCCATGTACATATGAGGCAGACATTGAGCATCCACTGACTTCGGCTAACCCAACAACAATACCAACAAAATAAAATGGCCAAAGTCAAATAGATGCACAGTGATACGTACCAGGAACCCACATCAAATTAAAACATGCTATTGTAAACTACGTATGGCCTTAAGGCTTAACAACGGTTCAAGCATCCATTCATAGAAATTAAAGGAGTAACCTGTTGTCCTGCTCTTAATCCAACTAAAAGCTCTTAGTTGCACTAGCTCAAAAATTCTTTCTTCTTCATATACTTGGTTTTTGAAGATTTTTCTATTTCTAGCCATCCAAAGAGACCATAAGGTGGAGAACCATACCACATCCCATCCAGCTTGAACTGATGAGTCTTTTAAGGGAGGCCTGTGTTGCTCGAAGTCCTCTTGGCATGTCTTTGTGTGAGCCGTGAGAAATCTCCACCATTTTGCACATTTGCTTCTTACTGAGTGAGCCACTCTACAATGAATAAACAGATGATTGGTATCTTCAATGTCATCACCACACAAGCCGCACATCAGGTTATTGTCAAGTATAATTCCCCTCTGATACAGGTTGAGCTTTGTGGGTATTCTATTCTGCAGGACTTGCCAACCAAATGCACTGATTTTTGTGGGGATGAGTTTGCTCCAAGTTCTTTTATGCTTCTGAGTTCTGCTATTGTCGTAGTTATTGGATAGAAGACCGTAAGCTGTTTTGACTGAGTATTCTCCTTCTTTGTTGTGTTTCCACTCCCAGTGGTCTGTTTGGTCTTTGATTGGGTGTAAGTTGTTGATTAGTCCCAGCATCTCGGAGAGATTGTCTTTCTCCCACTCGTGCAACGATCGTCTCCAATGAAGTGTCCACTGCCAGGTATCTTCCCTCCATAATCCCATTTGAGAGATTCTCTTTTCTTTTTCTGTGGAAGCAAGGTATAATTGGGGGAATCTGTTGGCAAGGGATTGATCTCCTGTCCACACATCCTTCCAAAATTTGACAGACTGCCCGTCTCCAAGCTTCAATTTAAAGCCCCCTGATAGCCATCCTCTGCTGTTTGGATCCATATCATCAATCCTACATACGTTTCTCCACCAAAGAGATCCCCTTTGGTCATCCACCTACACTCAATCAATCCATCTACCCTCCAAACAACCATACTTGTGCTGGATAATGTTGTGCAATAGACTCTCCTCCCCACTTGCAAGTCTACCCCACCACTTTCCCAATAATGCTAGATTAAATTTTCTGAGATCTTTGACACCTAGCCCACCCTCCATTTTGCTGCTACAAACTTTGTCCCATGAGACCCAGTTGATTTTTCTCTTGCTCCCCCCTCCCCCCCATAAGAAGCTCCTGCGGATTTTATCTAAGGAAAGAATCAAACCTTTTGGGAGTAGGTGCACAGACATGGTATACATTGGGAGGCTGGACAATACTGCATTGAGGAGTGTAATCCTTCAGCCAAAAGAGAGGAGCCGGCTTTTCCAATTGCTCAATTTTTTCTCAAAAGATTCAATCAATGGTTTCCACAGAGAAATCTTTTTCACATTGTCGCCTATTGGAACCCCCAAATATCTGCATGGAAATGCTCCTTGCTTGCAATTCAATATGTGGGCCATTTTTGACATCCATCCCTCTGAAACATTTATTCCTACAAGTTGGCTTTTCCCTAAATTAATTTTCAAACCCGATACCAACTCAAAGATTCTCATTATATTCTTTGCTGCCCATATGTTATCCTCCCTGGCTTTCCCAAATAAAATCGAGTAGTCCGCAAATTGCAGATGGGACACTTTCAAACCTCTGCTACCAATATCAATTCCGTCAAATAGTCCGTGATTGATTGCTGAAGAGGTAATGCCATTGAGGCCTTCCGCAACCAACAAAAATAAATAAGGTGAGAGTGGATCGCCTTGTCTGAGTCCTTTGTTAATTTTGACTTGTCTAGTTGTGCTACCATTGAGTAAGATCGACGCCTCTGCTGTCTTCAGACATTTGTTAATCCACCGTCTCCATTTTGGTTCAAACCCCATCCTCGACATCATGACGCAGGGGCAGTCAGATCAACATCAACGTTGAAATAACTAGGGCTCTTGATGGCCTGGTGGCTGGAAATCGAGAAGTAAGGTTCTTCTCCTTCTAGTTGGCCGGTGTTCGACTCTTGGTACTTGCAAGTCTTACACCACTCTCCAGTTGAACATAAACGTTGAAATAAGGCAACTGTATTGTTGATTTTT